AGCCCATCCATCAAGATCGTTGTACCGGACAACGATTTTATCGGTTCTAGAATATGGTAGTTTTTGTTTGCAGTCGGCAGCTAAAACGCACATCATTAAGCTGGAACGGATCCAGTATCGTTGTCTTCGTATCGCGTTAGGATGCATGCACTCGACTCATACTATGAGTCTCGAAGTGCTGGCGGGCATGTTGCCACTATCCGTCCGTTTTTCAGAGTTATCTCTGAGGCTCCTCACCCGTTGCGAAGTAATGAACCCACTGGTGATCGAAAACTTTGAGAAGCTTCTGGAGCTAAATCCTCAAACATGTTTTATGACTTTGTACTACCTATATTTAACACAGGATGTCAGCCCTTCAAGAAATATTCCTAATCGTGCAGTCTTCTCCGATTTCGACAATTCAGTGAATTTTGATTTATCTATGACGCAGGAAATCCGCGGAATTCCAGAGCATCATCGTCCTATGATTGCTCCGTCATTATACTCTGCAAAGTTTGGCCATGTTGATTCTGCAAGAACGTTTTTCACAGATGGATCTCTAATAGAGGAGTCCGCTGGTTTTGGTGTATTTGATGCATTTCATAGCGCCTCTCGAAAACTTGAAGCTCCTTGTTCTGTAAATGTGATTGAACTGGCAGCAATTCACTACACTTTGAAAACTATTGCTTCACTTCTTCCAGACCACTACTTTACTTTTACGGATAGTCTCAGTTCTGTCGAGGCTATCCGTTCCATTAGGCCGGTAAGGCACTTCTCGTATGTTCTCTCGAAAATACGAGAGCTGCTTAGTGCTTTATCCGTACGCTCTTTAATCATCACCTTCACGTAGGTCCCTTCGCATTGCTCAATTTTGGGCAATGAGAAGGCGGATTCACTTGCGAAGGTGGGCGCTATGGAATTTTTCTTTATTTATCGTCAGCAGTCGCTCGTTAGCTGGCAACATCAATGGAGTGAAGGGAGCTTGGGACGATGGCTACATTCAATTATCCCTAAGGTGTCAAAGTTTGCATGGTTCAAAGGGTTGGACTTCGGTCGAGACTTCATACGCGTGATGTCTCGTCTTATGTCCAATCACTATTGTCTAAACGCTCACTTGTTCCGTGTGGGGTTGGTAGACAGCAATCTCTGTGAATGTGGACAAGGTTACCAGGACGCTGTCCGGAGTATCGTGGAGTCAGATCACAATTTTATGATTCCATTCGGGCTCGAGGTAGACAACCTAATGTTCCAGTTCGGGATATCTTGGCTAGACGCGATCTGGTGTTTATGAAACTCATATATGTTTACTTTAAGACTAGATTGTAAGTTTGATTAACCTTGTGTTTAGTTTGTATTTTGTACGTGTGGGGATTTTTTTTAATGTTTGTTTTCAAGATGAATAGAAATAATTTCATGTTTTAGGATTAATTAAATATTTGCATCGTAAACCGCATTTCAAACCTCCTTCTTCCCATCCAAAAAATTGTAAATCTCCACTAACCTCGAGACAACCGCGAGTACTCGGTCCAGTTCCTTTAACTTTAAATGTAAGACAGTAATAATGTATAACGGAAAGGATAACTCGGCTATGTAAAGTTTATTCGATTGAGCCTGTACAAATAAAGTAATTATAAAAATAAAAAAACAAGAAACGGTTATGTGCTCAAGTTATTAACGAAGGAGAAAATCGACGAAGAGAATCGATCAATGTTACTTAGGGCCTAATGCAATGTTCAGCTTGACTTGTGTGTTCCTTTCAACGATCATTTTCGCCATACGAACACCGGTTGAGATGCCAGGAAAATCGATTTAAGTTCCTTATCGCTGCTCTCGTACTGCGATGACGTCCCGTATCTTCCTAGGAAATCGGCGATTTTTAGGTCCGACACGTCCTCGGACAAATCGTACAGCCTCACCTCCACTGCTCCCTCCTCCAGTGTGATTCTCAACGGATACTTTTCCCGTCGACTGTAATCTCGTGCTTGTTGTCATGTTCCTCGCAAATCCGTTGCGCCAAAGCTAGGTCGACAACTTTCACGAAGGAAACACCTAAGGCTCTACTGTTTTGGATCCCCACACGTATCAATATATTGACGCGAAGGGGAATTATTGACAATAATATTGATGATGTGAATACAGAAATATTGTCAATATCGATGTATTGACGTCAATATAGAATGTATTGACAATACAATTATTGTCAATAAAAGCAACCGTGTAAGCTCCACTTCAGACCTAATATGGTCGCACAGAACTTGTGCACTTTGGCATTATCCGGTTTCTTCGACACGTTCGCAAAATCTATGAGAAAGGTGTTTTCCCAAAGGTCCATCGCGAAGTCGTTTATTAGCATTGTTTTGCAGCTACAAGTTGAAAGTTGATTAAAATTTGCATATAAGTGACATTAGCGTTTATTGGTTGCTGTTATTCAGTGCGACTGACACATTGTATAATGGTTTTGAAAAACTTGAGTAAACGCTCCCCAAAACTATTTTGTTAGCTTTTGGTTGTAGCTGTATTTGCAGCTTTTTTTCAGCTACTGTACTGTACAACGCTGGAAAAGATGGCTTATAAAGCTGAAAATGTTAGTTGGGTATACCAATTAAACATAATATTAAAATATTAGCTCCTAAATCATTCTCTTTAGGAGAGATCATGTTACTTTTCATTTGGAGAATGTTGAGTCCAATTCGATGCAGTGGTGTTCGAGTAAGACGTCTCTCAATATTTTGTAATTTCGTATACTCGCACTAAAAAAATATATATATGCATATATATATATATATTGTACATTGTACACCTTACTAAACTTGCTTGATTAGTCAAAGGCTTCAATGCTGCAAAAGCAGCAATGCGTTTTCCTGATCTGGGAAGGGTCTGGCTGAAATAACCCACTTACAATGAAATTTTTCTGCTTAGATTCAGAGCAAACACGAAACAGTTTGTGTCGAATAACTTTTTTCCTTTAAAAGTGCACATCTTGAGATGTATGGACGACTTGTAGATAAATGGTGTGTCTTTTTTGCAACAAAATAATTGCATACTTGCATAGATTATTATGTAGAAGATATCTTTACACCCACAAAGATTCATTGACATCTGAAAGGGTACTACTAATCCCATAGTCGAGTTGGCGTGAAATTCGTCTGATAAAAATTTAAAAAATAACAGAACATTTCTTTGACTATATGTTTTTAGTATTACTTCTACGTGAAGTCAACGATTTACATAGTTGAAGATGCTAATTTCAAATAACAGACTGTAGTGGTAATTTTTATACGATAGATGGAGTAGATGAAAGCATAGAGTTGATAGTTCCGTTAGAGTACGGCAGTGTGAAGATTGTATATAGATATTAGACAAGCGAGCTAGGACAACTTTTAAGGAAGGTACAAATCGGTTTTTTCATCTCTCTTTATCAAACTCCCCCTTTGGAGAGGGATGGTGAGGGGTGCCCCCCCCCCCGCCACCACTGGCAAAAAGAGATGAAAACCGACCCGCTCATGTACCAACTGTGTGTTTGAAACAGTTCTACCGATTTTTAACCGCACTTCAGTTGCAATTTCCAAACCTACGACTGGATGCCTTCCTTCAAATAACAACTGAAGTGCGGTAAAAAATCGGTAGAACTGTTTCAAACACACAGTTGGTACATGAGCGGGTCGGTTTTCATCTCTTTTTGCCAGTGATGGCGGGGGGGGGGACACCCCTCACCATCCCTCTCCAAAGGGGGAGTTTGGTAAAGAGAGATGAAAAAACCGATTTGTACCTTCCATAAAAGTTGTCCTAGCTCTCTGTTCTAATATCTATATGCAATCTTCACACTGCCGTACTCTAACGGAACTATCAACTCTATGCTTTCATCTACTCCATCTATCGTATAAAAATTACCACTACAGTCTGTTATTTGAAATTAGCATCTTCAACTAAGAACATTTCTGTTTGCAATATTTTTATTTATTTAAAAGTTTATAAGAAATTCTAAGATTGATAAAATTTCCAAATTGTCCATTTCAAAATTGGCAAAAATCATAGAAAATCAATTTTAGATTGTTTTTAACATATAATGTTATGAACATGAAATTAATGGGCATTTCTACACAAAAGAACAATGCTTAAGACTTGTTATAATAGTTTTCAGAGCAAGTATTTCCACGCTTTGAAAGTTTAAAAATTGTTAACATCATCAACGTAACGATTTTTCCATATAATTTTGAAATGTCCAATTTGATAATTTCTCAAAAGTTAGCCTTTTGATTATTCTTTGTGATGAAACATAATCAAGCAATTTAATAAATGGACACTTTTTAGGAATTTTTAAACAAAATTTTAATTTTTTTACCGTTTATATTTATCTTAGGAAGACTTTCCTGTTGTTTTCCTGCAATTTTGACTCAAACGTGATTTCGATTTTAAACGACGTTTTAATACGTTTTCATTGAATCATATTGAATAAGTCATTTTGAAAATTATTACATCATTCAGAATTCAATTCAGAATGATTGCACATAGAAAATAATTATACAAAGTTTCATGCAAATCCGAGAAGGTCACCTTCTGCTAGATATGTCATTTGGCGTGGAACTACTCTTTAGTTTTGTGTTTGTTCATAGGTAGCGGAAATGTACAGAGTAACAATTTTGGACAGTTGGGCCGTTCCTTCCGTTCAGGTGGTTCAATTTATGTATGTTGTTTGATTCCATATGCACAAGGCTGGGCGGCACAAAGCACACGAGCTTTGCATAGCTTTCCTCCTACCTTACACGAGTGACGCTCAATTGGATGCCGAAAATGAATCTCACCTTAAATTTCCGATTTCCAAGTTCCCTTTCTGAGCTTGGCCACCCGTTCTAATTTACTATCCATCACTTCACCTTCTAACTAATTATTTGAATTTTTTACTTGTATTGGAATTTCCTATGCATAATACTTTTCACATTTTTCACCTTTCACTGTTTGAATGAATCATTTGGCACTTGTTTGATTTTCTATCCCCTCAATATTATAAAAGCCATATTTACCAACAACATCGAGGAACGCATCCCATTTTCTCTGGAAAAACGAGCTGGAGTTGATGCCATCTGGGGTGGTCGTAATATTTACTAATGAATCGAACATTGCCGTTTGCACTTGTGGTACGAGGCGATTCTCCTGATATCTTCTGATTTTTATACTTTGATAAGTTTTCCTCGAAATTGCACAAACGTCCCCATTAATCACGACCGTTCGAAAAACTCACACGAAAAATACGCCGTTAACCGATCAAAAAATCGTGGTTAGTCGCCGGTAGGCAGAGAGCAACTGAAAATGTGCTGCGATTGGTGGCATGGGTTCTGTAGCCCAATCCAGAGCGGTGCGGTTAGTAGGGGGTGCACGAGCGTGAGCCGGCAATTGGCGATCTAACGATAGTGCTCTCTTGGCAAATCGGAGAAATATAAAAACGGTTATGATTACGAAATTTTGCACGGTGAGGTACACGCAAACCAAAAATGTACAACATTGAATGTTAGTTGCATTTCCTAGCATCCTCCGCAGCGAATGATATAAGTTGACCTTGCAGACGATTTTATGATTTTTTATCCCTTTTATTCCGTGCTCTGTCTACGCTCTCGGCTGTATCAGAATGCATTTTATTTATGATATTGTACGGAAATTTTAAGATTTTCTCTTCTGGAAATCACTTTTTAAAAAAGTTACAAGTTCACAAATTTATTCTTTCTTAGTTACACATGAACACTTATTACTAGCCACCTGCGTTGAAAGCTGGAAAAAGAGAACGAACCTCATGTTCACTACTTATTTATGCACTAAAAGTGCTTATTAAGCTATTCTACCCTACTTGCTTCGTATTGCTGGACTGCGCGCCAACTGCTGCTAGTGGTTAATTCTCCTAACATGACTTTCCTTACTACTCCCCGTCTGCTGGAAAGCCGTCCTCGGCTTTCACGATCCTCTGCTGCTATGGTCCATTGCTGCTGTCGGGTCGTCCTAGGCCTTCGGGATCCTCTTCTATTGTGGAATTAACCTCGGTCGCCTGGGGGGTGGAACAGATCTGCGTTCCTCTTCCGGTTCTGCCTGTACGTTCTCCTCTTTATCCGTGCATTTCCTACTACATCGATGTTTATTTCTAATAAGCCAAGCGATGATGATGCCTATGGTTATGATGGTGGTAGTTGAAATTGATCCAAAAGATAGCCATTTGAATAGGTGCAGCCCTCCTTGAATATTTTCCGTAGTGAGGTTCATCTTCCTAAGGGCAGCCCTACTTTTGCTCAATAAAACAGATGAAATTATCCTTAATAAGTAAAAAAATCTCCTTAAAATAGATCGGGTTGCTCCATAAATGATTGATCAAAATACGTTAAAAATCTTAAAATTCTCAGTAAATATTTAAAGTACGCTCCCTAAAATAGAGAAAACTGTACATTAAGCATTTGAAAATGCTCCTTAGTATGCACCGCTTTGCATCATTTTGAAATGTAATTGTACCATATATCATCGGAAAAGCTGCTGTAGAAAGGTTAATAAGTACCATGAAATGAGCTGAAATGTTCCGTTCTGTTAGCTATTGTTGCGACGGTTGCACTTAGCTAAGAAATCGTGCTCGGTCACTACACCCGTGTTCCTTTGCCATTTTCCTTATTAAACGCACTGGATTCACCCGAATCTTCCTTTTGATAGCAGCGATAACCCTCGGAACCCAAGCTGACCTCGGACGACCTGTGGCCACCTTCGCGGATAGTTGTCCTTTCTTTTCTTGGTCTAAAACCCTTTTGACGGCTCACCAGGACACTCCCACGGCGATTGAAAAGTCTTTTTGCGACATTTGCGCGTGGGACAAATCACGAATACGCTGCCACTTCGTCATGATGCAACTGTCTAACTAAGTAAATCATTTTCTTTTTTACACAGCCTACTATGGTATGAGCTATAGGTTACGTGCATGCAAAGAAAACCAAGGCATTGTATGCACAGGTGAAACGGGAACCTTATTTTTACGATTGTGCAATGATTATCACGCATACTCTAGTTCAATTTGAACAGACGATCTAGTCATCCCATATGACCGTTTCTCTTGAAACCACCTGAAAATTTACGTAAAAATCACCCTCATTCCAGCCGTCACACACAACTGCAACTGGTGGAGGACGAAGGAACGGCTTACCCAAATGCTAGCAAGCCGGTCAAGAAGAAAGTCTACGTGGATGACCACATCGGATGGGAGTATACTGTGGATGGCGCTATTCAACTTCAGTTGGAGCAAACGCAGCTGATGCAAAAAGGAGGACTTCGTCTTCACAAATGGGTGTCTACCTCGCCGGAGGTGATGGTAAAAATTCCTCAGGAGCTTCTTGGAACGCAGTCTCCACCCAAGATCATTCCCGAAGAAATCATCAAGACACTAGGAATTTGCTGGAAACCGAAAGCGAATGTATCTCGTTTCAACGTATCCGTCGCCTTGAAGTCGCAAACTGCAATAAAACGTAGTATATTGTCTGCCATCGCTCAGCTGTATGATCCCCTAGGTCTCGTATCCCCAGTCATCGTCCAGGCAAAGATAATGATGCAATATCTGTGGCTTCTCTCGTTGAATTAGGACGATCAGGTAACCCCGGAGATGCAACGCAAATGGGATCACCTTCCGTCTACTATGACAAGACTTAAATGGAATTTTGAGAAGGCAGATTGGGACAGCTTTTGCAAAGAAGTCTGTCGCCAACTGCCTGATACTGAGACCAGGTGACTGGACCCAAATCTTGAGTAAGGCCCCTCATCGTCACATCCCAAAGGCCGACAGATTCTAGGGCCGACAGATTGAGGGAGTTTCAGCTCGCTCGATCCAAATCTAGGAGTGTACTCAAAGCTGCAAAGCGGGATATATGGTCTGCTTTCACTGTGGACATATCTGAAGCCACTAGCTCTGGTGAACTATGGCGAAAGGTAAAGTCTGTCGGTGGTAAGAATAGACATGTTGAATGGGTTATTAAGTTGAATGGTGATTACACGAAAGACCCAGGACTAATCACTGAAGCCTTTGCCAAGGTGTCGGCAAACAGCAATCACAGTGATAAATAACTGCGTGTAGAGTCATTGGCTGAGAGGGAGTACTGCTACTCCCGTGACAGGCAGAATAGTCTTGTTAAATACTATAACAGGGTCTTCGAACTTGAAGAGCTCAATTGGGCCCTGCGCCGCGGCATTGGTAAGGCTGCGGGCCCTGACGATATTGGGTATCCCCTGCTTAGGAGATTACCTCTTATCGGCCGATTGGTTCTTCTTGACACAATGGATGAGGTCTGGCTTTCAGGCCAGACACCTGATGAGTGGAAAGAAGGGTTGGTTATACCCATTCCCAAACCTGGTAAGGATAGAACCCAAATGGATGGTTATCGACCGATAACCCTGCTGAGCTGCATGGGAAAAACACTTGAACGGATGGTTAATCGTCGTCTGTTAACAGAGTTGGAGAGGCATGGACGGACCCACCCACAACAACACGCATTTCGATGCGGTTATGGATCGGAGACGTTCTTCTCTGAGCTCGATCATTTATTGGACAAGGCCTCGTCGGAAGATTTGCATGTAGATGTAGTCTCCCTCGATTTGTCCAAGGCATATGATATAACATGGATGCTTCCTATCTTAGCTTCCCTCAAGAAGTGGGACTTCCAAGGATGTATGTTTAACTACGTATACAGAACCATACGTTCCGAGTTTTGAACGCTGGTGCAACCTCTAGCAGAGATGAAACTGCTTGGTGTGACTATTGATAACAAACTCCGATTTGTTAAGCACACCAAGTTGGTGAAGGATAATGTCAACAGCAAGTTGTATATTCTTCGGACCTTAAATGGTCGCTTCTCTGAAGCCTCTCGTTGTACAGTGACCAAGGTTGCTAGGGCTCTGGTTGTCGCTAGCATCCTTTACGGGGCGGAACTGTGGAGCAGGGGTGGTGTCTCACTGCTCAAGATTCTGGAACCTCAGTACAATGAGGCGTATAGAATTTGTAGTGGAGCGCTGAGGTCTTCACCAATAGCTTCCATGTTGGTGGAGAGTGGAAAGGTACCTTTGGTGAATGTTGTCACCGAAGACGTAGCCACTAAGGCGCTGCGGTTGTTAGAAAGGAATCCCATCCTCAATGACAGGCCCACGGTTGCAAGGGGGAGGGGATGGTGGAGCGAATTGACGGGAGTAGACTTTCCCACGTTAGCCCGGTGAGTTAGGCTGTGGCAACGGGCTGTGGAAACGGGCATGGACTGCCCCGAAAGTCGATTGGAGGGTTCCCAAGTAACCAAAAGTTCCACATTCCGACCGAACCTTCAAGTTCCATAAAGTTCAAATAAAGTTCCGACAGAACTTTCAAGTTCCATAAAGTTCAAATAAAGTTCCGACAGAACTTTCAAGTTCCATAAAGTTCAAATAAAGTTCCGACAGAACTTTCAAGTTCCATAAAGTTCAAATAAAGTTCCGACAGAACTTTTAAGTTCAATAAAGTTCAAATAAGTTCAAGCCACATGAAGGAATCCGCACAAGTCTTTATTAGTAACAAAATTTAATGTACGTAACTATTAAATGATCAGTGGCCCGAATATATCATAATTCTTTTATTTATGCAGTGCATCAACATTCTATCCAAACATAAAAAAATAATTAAAAAGTAGAAGGGTCTGTGCCTAGGGGCACGAACGGAAGCTTGACGTAGGACCGCTAGTGGACGGAATATGTGAAGAGCATTAAGTTCTTTTAATTGATCAAATATCTATTATCTCAACTCTTTCCGTTTTTGAATTGTAGGCGTACCAAATTTGTAGTAATCTTTTTCAAAGAGAAAGTTGATTACGAAAATCAATCAAAATCACTTGCACCCCTGCTTCCAAGTTTGTGTGGTCGTTGAGGGCTTGTGGTTCTGAATATGGACGAACAAGCACAGATACATTCTATTCCAACTCTTTACTGATGTAAGCTTGATGGCCCTGAAAAGGGCCGTTTTATTGAAGAGGACATCCATGGCCACTTACGCTTGGCGTGTTTAGTGTAGGTGACAGCATCACGGACCTCATTTTCCAGGAACACCTTCAACACACCTCGTAGATCAGACCGGAGATACGTCCGACACC